CTTCCTTACTTCCTGGCACCTCAAGATGCTTCAAAACTCAAACTCATCTTATATATTTTCTGTCACAGTCAAATCAGTCAAGGAGCCCTGGTTCCCTTTATTGGAGAGTAGGATTAGTGACGAAGACCTGGGTGCTAGATGTGCTTATTGCTACAGGGTGGTGTTGCTTCCAGCCCCTCTCAGTTGACAGAGCAAGGGAATATATGTCTTTATACTAACCCATATATATACTCATGTCTATAAATATTTCTGTATATAGCTATCTGTATATAGTCATGTGCCACGTGGTGATATTTTGGTTGACAGACCATATATACGATGTTGGTCTCATAAGATTATAATACTTTATTTTTACTGTGCCTTTTCTGTGTTTAGATACACAAATACCATGGTGTTACAGTTGCCTACAGTATTCAGTACAGTCACATGCTATACAGGTTTCTAGGCTAGGAGACATAGGCTCTACCATACAGCCTAGGTTTGTAGTAGGCTACACCATCTAGATTTGTGTAAGGACACCCTATGATGTTTGCACAACAAAATGGTAGAAGTCTAACAAACACATCTCAGAACATATCCCCATTGCTAAGCAACGCATGACTATATGTTAATATTAAGCTAGGCCGGGGATGGTGGCTCACACCTGTAATCCCAGCACGTTGGGAGGCTGAGGCAGGCAGATCACCTGAGGTTAGGAGTTCGAGACCAGCCTGACGAACATGGAGAAACCCCGTCTCTACCAAAAATACAAAATTAGCTGGGTGTGGTGGCGGGCGCCTGTAATCCCACCTACTTGAGAGGCTGAGGCAGGAGAATCACTTGAATCTGGTGAGCTGAGATTGCGCTATTGCACTCCAGCCTGGGCAACAAGAGTGAAACTCCATCTCAGAAAAAAAAAAAAATTAAGCTAAATACGATTTCGTGCTTAGCTTAAAGTCTCCTACTCTAATCCATTTTTATATGGGTCATTTTAGCCTGCCTCTGTTATCTGTAACCTCTCTCTCATAGTGAGAAACCTGGCTTCCACCATCCCCTATCCATTTACTTATTTGGTCAATTCCAGTATGCATGCATAATGGTTTGCTTGAGAACTAATAAGCTATACACCCTTATGACAAACTACGTGCGCATCTAGAGGGAACATTAGCTATCAAGTTCAGTAGGACACTGGGTTGGGCAGATGGGTCCACTTGTGAGGACAAATTCTGTTGTGAAAACGTTTTCCCCAGAGCTTTTTCAGTTATGTGTGATTAGTCAGAGCCTCTAGTCTAGGTGGGGTGCTGGCGATCGGAGAGAAGGTACCCTGGATTGACAAAATATAGAGTAGCCTTTGTGAGACCTGGGGTGGGGTGGGAGAACTTGGCCCCTCATCAGTGGAGCTGTGGGCTCCAATGACCCCTCTTACTTCTCTATGGAGAAGGTTTTCTGTGAGATAGTACTTCATGTTCCAAACACCTGAGCCTTCAACATTCTAGTGGACTGAAGCTTGGGGTTTTGTTTTGTTTCTATTTTTTAATTTTTATTTTTGATAGGGATAGATAGGTTGAGGAAGGCTATCAGCTCAGTATATCTTTGGGTGGCTTTGACAGATTTCCCTTTTGTGGAGTTACATTCATGACACTGTCTAAAGGACCATGAACATTTCAGGAGAGAATTTCAGTATTATTTTGTTTCATACAAAGACAAATTTTTAAATCTTTGTTTTGTTATCATTTTTTTTTTTACAGACAGGGCCTCACTCTGTCGCCCATGCTAGAGAGCAATACACAGTCATAACTCACTGTAACCTCAAACTTCTAGCCTCCAGTGATCCTCCTTCCTCAGCCTTCCAAGTAATTGGGACCACAGGCGTGCACCACCATGCCTGGCTAATAAAAATCATTTTTAACATTTATTTTTAATTGACAAATAATCTTTGTATATATTTATAGGATACAATGTGATGTTTTGGTCTGTGTATATATTGTAGTAAGATTCATTCAAACTAACTAACATATCCATTATCTCACAAGCTTATTTTGTTGTAGTGAGAATGGTAAAAGTCTATTAGCAATTAAAAAGTATATAATACATTATTATTAATTGTGGTCACTATGCAGTGCAGTAGGTTGCTAAAACTTAATTCCTCTTGTCTAACTGAAGCTTCGTATTCTTTAATCAACACTTTCCCTTTCCCCATACCTCTCCCTCCCCTCAGCCTCTGGTTAGCTACCTTTCTACTGTTTCTGTGAGATCAACTTTTTTAGATTCCACATCTAAGTGAGATCATACAATATTTGTATTTCTGTGCGTGGCTTATTTCACTTAGCATAATGTCCTTCAGTTCCATCCACATTGTCATGAATGACAGAATTTCCTTCTTTTTAAAGGATGTATAGTACTCCGTTTATATATGTACCACATTTTCTTTATCCATTCATTTGTTGATGGGCACTTAGGTTGCTTCCATACCTTCACTAGTGTAAATAAAACCAAAATGAACATGGGAGTACATATAGCTCTTCAAAATAGTGATTTCAATTCTTTTGGTTTTTTTTTTTTTTTTTTTTTTTTTTGAGACAGAGTCTCTCTCTGTTGCCCAGGCTGGAGCACAGTGGTGCGATCTCGGCTCACTGCAAGCTCCGCCTCCCGGGTTCACGCCTTTGTCCTGCCTCAGTCTCCTGAGTAGCTGGGACTACAGGCGCCCACCACCACGCCTGGCTAATTTTTTATATTTTTAGTAGAGACGGGGTTTCACTGTGTTAGCCAGGATGGTCTCAATCTCCTGACCTCATGATCCGCCCACCTCGGCCTCCCAAAGTGCTGGGATTACAGGCGAGAGCCACCACGCCTGGCATTCCTTTGGATATTAATGCATGCACAGAACTGGGATTGATTTCTGAATTATATGATAATTTTATTTTTTGTTTTTTTGAGGAACCTCCATACCATTCTCTGAAATGGCTACACTAATTTACATTCCTAACAATATGTGCAAGTGTTCCCTTTTCTCCATATCCTCACCAACAAATATAATTTGTCTTCTTGATAATAGCCATTCTAACAGATGTAAGATGACATCACATTTTTGTTTGTTTTTGTTTTTGTTTTTGTTTGGTTTTGTTTTTTGAGACGGTGTCTCACTCTGTCACCAGGCTGGAGTGCAGTGGTGAGATCTCAGCTCACTGCAACCTCTGCGTCTCTGGTTCGAGAGATTCTCCTGCCTCAGCCTCCTGAGTAGCTGGGACTACAGGCGCATGTCACTGCGCCCAGCTAATTTTTGTATTTTTAGTAGAGACGGGGTTTCACCATGTTGGCCAGAATGGTCTCAATCTCTTGACCTCGTGATCTGCCTGCCTCGGCTTCCCAAAGTGCTGGGATTACAGGCATGAGCCACCACGCCCGGCCCACATTTTGGTTTTAATTTGTGTTTCCCTGATGATTACAGATATTGAGCATTTTTTCATATACCCGTTGGCCATTCATATCTCTTCTTTTGAGAAGCTCCTTTGCCCATTTTTAACTGGTTATTTGTTTTCTTGCTATTGAGTTGAATTCCTTATATATTTTGGATATTAACCCCTTTTCAGACGTATGGTTTACAAATATTTTCTCCCAATCCATGGGTTGTCTTTTTACTCTGTTGTTTCCTTTGCTGTGCAGAAAGTTTTTAGTTTCATTCAGTCTCATTTGTCTACTTTCACTTTTGTTGTCTGTGCTTTTGGAGTCTTATCTAGGAAGTGGTTGCCCAGACTAATGTTGTGGAACTTTTTCCCTGTGTTTTTTTCTAGTAGCTTTGCAGTTTCAGGTCTTGCGTTTAAGTCTTTTATTCATTTTGAGTTAATTTTTGTATATGGTATGAGATAGGGGTCCAGTTTCATTCTTCCGCATGTAGATATCCAGTTTCCCTACGTCATTTACTGAAGAGACTGTCATTGTTGGAGATCAATTAACTGTAAATATTTGATTTGATTTTGGTGCTTTCTATCCTGTTCCATTAGTTGATGTGTCTGTTTTTATGCCAGTACCATGCTGTTTTGATTATAATAGCTTTACAATATATTTTGAAATCAAGAAGTGTGATGCCTCCAGCTTTGCGCATTTTGCTCAAGATTGCTTTGGCTATTGGGGGTCATTTCTGGTTCCATACAAATTTTAGAATTGTTTTTTCCATTTCTGTGAAAAATGACATTGGAATTTTGATTAAAAATTACATGGTATCTGTAGATCACTTTGGTCAGTATAGACATTTTAACAATATTCTTCTAATACACGAACATGGAATATATTTTCATTTGTCTTTTTAATTTTTCATCATTGTTTTATAGTTTTCAAGGTACAGGTTAGGAGGTATGGGTCTTTTACCTCCTTGGTTAAGTTTACTACTCAGTAGACTGAAGTCTTTTAATATTTGCTCTGTATATTTAGGTGCTTCAATGTTGGGTGTGTATATATTTACAATTGTTATACTTTCTTAATGAATTGACCCCTTTAGCATATAATGACCTCCTTTGTCTCCTTTTACAGTTTTTGACTTTAAAAATCGATTATTTTTTTTTTTTACTTTTATTTTCAGTTCAGGGATACATGTGCAGGTTTGTTATATAGGTAAACTTGTATCATGGGGGTTTGTTGTACAGATTATTTCCTCACCTGGGTAATAAGCCTAGTACCCATTGGTTATTTTTCCTCATCCTCTCCCCCTCCTACCCTCTGCCCTCCAATAGGCCCCAGTATGTGTTGTTCCCTTCTATGTGTTCATGTGTTCTCATCGTTTAGTCCCACTTATAAGTGAGAACATGTGGTACTTGGTTTTCTGTTCCTGTATTAGTTTGCTAACAATACTGACCTCTATTTTGTCTGATATAAGTATAGCTACCACCACTCACTTTGGGTTTTTATTTGCATGGAATACCTTTTGTTATTCCTTCACTTTCTAAAGGGAAATGACCATTTCTAGGGAGTATTTCATTATTACTTTATTTTATGCAAAGATAGTTTAATTTTTTTTTTTTTTTAACTTTTAGGATCTGGGGACTTTGATGATTTTAACCTGGAGGATGCAGTGAAAGAAACTTCCTCAATAAAGCGTGAGTAGTAGATCAAACAAACTATTAAAAACAAACAACAGTGATTAATGTGTATCGTCCACTCAGAATATATGCGCAAGAAAAACAATATATTTTACTTCATCAGATGAAATATGGATAGTGGCTGGGCACAGTGGCTTATGCCTGTAATCCCATCACTTTGGGAGGCCAAGGCGGGAGGATCACTTGAGGTTGGGAGTTCGAGACCAGCCTGGCCAACCTGGTGAAACCCCGTCTCCACTAAAAATACAAAATTAGCCGGGTGTGTTGGTGCATGCCTGTAATCCCAGCTACTCGGGAGGCTGAGGCAGGAGAATTGCTTGAACCCGGGAGGTGGAGGTTGCAGTGAGCCGAGATCGCACCATTACACTCCAGCCTGGATGATGAAGCGAGATCTCTGTCTCAAAAAAAAAAAAAAAAAAAAAGAAAAAAAAAAAAAAAAAAAAAAAAAGGAAAAAAAAAAAGAAAGAAAAGAAATGGATAGTTATATTATTTAAAATAAAATTCAAATATTTAAATCCTTTGTTAAAAATACCTAACAATGTGTGATAACTGATATATCATTTTCTGTAGCTCAAGTCATAGCCCCTACTGGTGTGACATACCAGCAATGGCCTCCAAGGGCTGTCTTCCTTAACTCAGAAAAAAAGTTACTTTAAAGTGAATAAAAGATTTGTTTCCCCTTTTAGATTGATTTTATAATGGCTTTTTTTTTTTTTTTTTTTTTTTTTTTTTTTTTTTTTTTTTTGAGACAGGGTCTTGCTCTGTTGCCCAAGCTGGAGTGCAGTGGCACCATCTTAGCTTTACTATAGCCATAAACTCCTAGGCTCAAGTGATCCTCCCATCCCAGCCTTCCAAGTAGCTGGGACTATAGGTGTGTGCTACCACATCTGGCTAATTTTTAAATTTTTTTTGTGGAGACAGAATCTCACTGTGTTGCCCAAGCTGGTCTTGAACTCCTGACCTTAAGTGATTCTCCCACTTTGCCCTCCCAAAATGCTGAGATTATGAGCATTAGCCACCACACCTAGTCATGGCTTTTCTTAAAATGGAGTCTGTGTAGTTTCTCAAATGCTAAGCTTTGTTATCAGTTTTCCTTTTTTTCCTTTCATTTTTTAACTTTATTTATTTATTTATTTATTTGTTTGTTTGTTTTGGAGACAGAGTCTCGCTCTGTCACCCAGGCTGGAGTGCAGTAGTGCAATCTTGGCTCACTGCAACCTCCCCCTCCCGGGTTCAAGCAATTCTCCTGCCTCAGCCTCCCGAGTAGCTGGGACTACAGGCGCATACCGCCATGCCCAGCTAATTTTTTGTATTTTAGTAGGGGGGATTTCACCGTGTTGCCCAGGCTGGTCTCAAACTCCTGAGCTCAGGCAATCCGCCCGCCTCGGCCTCCCAAAGTGCTGGGATTACAGGTGTGAGCCACAACGCCCGGCCTCCTTAAACCATTCTTTCAAAAAATGATAACTACTTATAAAGTAAAGCCACGATCTCCGTTGACCCTTCTCCCTTCTACTTCCATGAGAACTACTGTAGTCAGTTTGGGGCATGTTGATCCCGATTAGTTTTCAATGCTGTTATGTACATCTATAGATAGAAATTGGTGGTTTTTTTGTTTTTTAATGTTACAGATGTGAGGCTCTTTCATTTAATGTGTATTGAAGTCCTTAGAGAACATGTCTATGTTGGTTTTTTCCCAGCTGCCTTAGGAAAGTACCACAAACTGGATGGCTTAAAACAACAGAACTTTATTCTCTCACAGTTCTGGATGCTAGAAGTTCTACATCAAGGTGTTGGTTGGGCCACATTCTCTCTGAAGGCTCTAGGGAAGAATCTTTCCTTGACTTTCCCCACTTCTGGTGGCTCTAGGTGTTCCTTGGTTTGTGGTTGCGTCACTCCAATCTCTGCCTCTATTGTCACACAGTATTCCCCTTTCTGTGTCTCTCTTCTTTCTCTTACAAAGATGCTTGTTAGTGGGCTGAAGGCCCACCTAGATAATCCAGGATGATCTCATCTTGAGATCTTTCACTTAATTACATCTGCAGAGATCCTTTTTCCAAATAAAGAAATATATATTTATAGGTATATAGTATATACACACATACATATTTGTGTGCATATATATACACACACACACACACACACACACACACCCCTTATTCGTTTTACCACGGCATGGTATACCATAGTATGCATTCAGTAAATGTCTGAGTGCCAGCTGTGTTATCAGTTACTGTTTCAGGCTTTGGGGCTACAGCCATGAACAAATCACACACAAACCAAACCTTGTGGAACCAGCGTTCCAGTGGTATGGATTTGGCCATGACCCATATTGCCATTTCCTTACTGGCAGACACGTGGTTTATTTCATTTTTATGCAATTACAAATAGGGCTACAGCGGACATTCTTGTCCATGTTCTTTGTGCCCAAGTGCAGTGTGACTGCTAGGACCAAAGATATGTGTATTTTATATTATAAAAAACTCTGCCAAATTGCTCTCCAAAGTGGATTTGCCATTATGCACTGTTACTGATGTTGTTATAATAGTACCTGTTTTCCCAGACCCACGCCAACACTGAATTTTATCAATAAAAAATATTTTACCAATATGATGGGCAAAATAATATCTCATTGCTTATTATGCATTCTCCTGATTGTAGTCATATGGAGCATCATATATTTACTGGCTATTTGCATTTGCCTCTTTGGTAAATTTTCACATTCTTCCCCCATTTTTCTGCCAGATTGCTTGCCTTTTAAAAATGGGTTTATTAAGATCTCTTTGTATTATATATTGAGTTGAGAAAGTCAAGGGCTTTGGAGTCAGACTTCTTGGGTCGAAACCTTACCTCTGCCACTTGTGAACTGTCACCTTGGGTAAGTCACCTGACTTGTCTGCACCTCAGTTTCCTTATCTCTTACATGAAGATAATAAGAAGCCCTGCCTCCTAGGATCATTGTAAGGATGACATGGGAGGAGCCATGTGAAGCACTCAGCACAGTCCTTAGAACAAGGTGAGTGCTCAGTAAGCATTAGCCTTACTGTTTGTTCTTTGACTGACTTGATTGGAAGGACTGACTGTGGCTGGACCTCTGGTGTAAGAGTCAAGCAGACCTAAATCGAGTGACAGACTCAACACAATTCCTGACAAAATCCCAGATGGATTTTTTGCAAAAGTGGATAAGCTGACGTTAAAATTCATATGGAAATTCAAAAGACTCAGAATAGCCAAAGCAATCTTGAAAAATAAGAAAAAGATGGAGAACTTACACTTATCAATTGTGGCACTGACTATAGACCAAAATTATCAAGATAGTAGACTACTGTCTAGAGATCAATGGAATAGAACTGCGAGTCTAGAAGTAAACCCTTAGATCTATGGTCAGTTGATTTTTGACAAAGGTGCCAAGACCTATTCAAATGAAAAGAACAGTCTTCAACAAATATTGCTTAGGACCATAGGATATCCACATGCAAAAGAATGAAGTTGGACTGTTACCTCACACCATACACAAAAATTAACTCCAAATTGATCATAGACCTAGAAGTATAAATCTCTTAGAAGTTAATTTTTGTGTACGGTATGAGGTGAGCAGTTTGGGCATTATCAGGTCTTTCCTGGGCGTTCATGCTCTCCTCTGCATGCAGGTGGCCTCTAAGATCCTCAGGAAAATAAATACACTTAATGTATTAGCAGTGATGGTTTTAATGAAATCATTTAACATCTCCAAAACAAACAGGACCAAAAATCAAAACAAATTTGATAAGTATAAATAGACTTTCAATAAACGTGTTAACTTCTTGATGGGAACTTTTTAAATCTCAGCATATCATACCTCCAATCGACAGGGACTTTTTAATATATAAAATCCCTTTTTGAGTCTTGTGTTGGCCCATCTGATCTTCCTCATCAGCACCCATCAGCCAGTGTGTCTGGGAACCTCTAGAACCACCTGTATGTGATGTATGTGGCTGAATGACAGCCCACAAGACCACATCATGCTGCCACCCTTTTTTCTATCTTAGCTTATATTTCTCATAACTGAGGTTTCAAAGAGATAGGCCTCTCTACCTCACCTTGGTCCAGATACTTATCTTGCAGAGAATGTTCTTCTCTGCACGTTGTGCATTCCTCTGCTTGTTTTAAAAATCCCTGAACCACCTAGGCCAGAGATCGTATCATAAATGGCCTTTATTTATTTATTCACCAATGTTTTTTGAGTGCCGGCTTGCTGCTAGGTGCTAGACCTAACAATGTGGAAGAGGTCACTGCCCTTATGAATTGTTTTCTCTGGAAGGAGACATACAGTACCTAAAATATTTTCAGATATTGCTGAGTACTTTCAACCAAATTCAAGAGGGTGATGGGATAGCAAGGGCCCAAGATTAGGGGCAGTTACTTTAAATTAAGTGGTGAAGGCAGCTCTGAGGAGAGGTAATGTGCAAGGAAGTGAGGAAGGAGTCTTCGAGGCCAAGAGATCAGTTGTAAGACTTCTGAGGCAGAAAAGAGCCAGGTTTACTCTGTGGCCTGGAAGGCAGCCTGTGTGGCTGGAGTTTGGAGAATGCTGGAGAAAAGACAGACAAGTTGTCAGGGGACAGATCATGCAGGATCTTACTAGTATATTCACAGGGTTGCACAACCATCACTACAGTCTGTTTTAGAACACTTTTATTACTTCAAAAAGAAACACTATATCCTTTACCTATCACTTCCCAATCCCCTAATTCTTGTTTCTACCCTTCACCCCCAAGCAACCACTCATCTCTTTCTGTCTCCATGGACTTCCCTATTCTGAATATTTCATATCATTGGAATCATTCAATATGTGGACTTTATGCTTATCTGCTTTCACTTAGTGTAATGTTTTCAAGGCTCATCCATGTTGCTTTCAGAGTCCTCCACCACTCTCACTATCTCTTCCTTTCTCTCTGTGTGTGTAATCATCTCATGGGGGAACACACTTCTGATTCTGCCAAATAAAACTTCTTATGAATGTC